CCGTAACAGTATCCCATGAATCTCAGGAGATTCAAGCCCGCTACTTTTCTGTCAGTGATCGGACACAGAACCGATTAGAAATGTGATTAAATCGCGCCTTGACAAGATAGCGTCGAAATACAACCAATCGAATACTACATTGGTGTAACCGAGAGACTCATGCGAATCTCTCGTCTATGATAGTATTCAGTTGAATATGTCGCAAAAAAGCGGTCTCATGTTTCTGTTGGTATGAGTTCCGATATGCTGTAGTATATTTTTGTCATAACACGGTACTCATAAGTTTGTTGAAAAATCTTCGACCGCTTTCTTCTTTTTAGAGGCCCAAAAATTTGGGATATTCAACAAGTTCCTGACGAACCCAAGTTCTATGAAATTCGCGGAATACACTCAATTGTAAACCGATTTTGTTTTAACAGTCCCAGCTGGATCTCTGGTTTTCGACATTCTTCAACTAAATGTGCTGCACAAAGTCTGCCTCATTTTACAGTACTCGATATGTCGCAATATATTTTCCTGAAGTTCGCTTTGGATGAGCCTACGGCAGTTTGAGTGATCGCTTCTCAGACGAAGAGTTTATAAGATCTGCTTGTCTTTTTTCTTTCTGAGAAGATGTCTCATACACATTGTTTATTTAGTGAAGTTCCAACTTACATTTGACTTCAACCAAGTAACCAGTTGAAGCTAGCAGAACCACGCACGTACGACGAAGACAACCGTATAGTCTGGATAACGTCCGGCAAACCCGCAAAAGGGGTGCCTTATAGAACTAGGATGTATTGAGACCAGGTAATACAAATCATTTTTTGATTTGATATGGCGAAGTAAGTCAAACGCTTCCACTAGCCAAGTTTTCCTCCTGGTCATAAACTTCAGTGGATTATTTGATGCTGATGTTTCTCACAGTCAGTCGATACTGAAGTCATCATTCATCATTTCATCCACAACCCTGCCTTCAACATTTCGAACCATGATCACACCTTCTCTAACCCGTGTGTTTAAATAGAAAAGGAGCTACACTTCGAAAATATCGTTTGTGAGTGAGTAAAAGTTGATTATATGGACTAAGTAAGCAAGATCGCAAGTGACCAGCGGTCCTATTATTGTAGTCGTCGTACTAGTACGCTTTGAACGGTTTTTGTCTGATATAAGTAGTATCCAGCTCTCCCACGTCAAATACTCCAAATAAATGCATATCGAATACAAACCATTCACATTAAATCCGAGTAGCCGGATATGACGCAAGTAGCTAGTCGAGTTTTTGTTCATTTGTTGCTGCTGTCTGAAGTGTTTCCACTGTCATCTGGGAATAATGCCACCCGAGCACCATCTGATTCCCATTCACCTTAATATACAATATATATATATATATATATATATATATATAAGGGGAAGAACGAAACTCACAAAAAGCAAGTAAACGTTAAGCTGGCCAAAATCGCCTACGGGTATTTAAAGTTCAGGATTGGTAAAACTGTCCTAAATTTCGTGAGTGATGTGAAGCTGATAAGTGGCTTTCCCGCCAAGAGAGACTCAGTCGTCTTACAGAACCTTTTGTACACAAAATCCAGGCCAGAAAATAAGGATAAAAATACTGGTGGAGCAACGCCCAGTTCCTAAAACCTCCACATGTACTTCATGGGCTTGTTACAGGCTACTCTGAACGTTAGCTTCAAGCCCAACGCCAAGAAACTTAGATTGAACAGAACCGTTCTCATCGTATCAACATGTTCATGCAGTAACGAAGGTACATGTCTGGACATGCGCTTCGGTATCTTCGTTGTCCAACCATTGTAGGCGTCTTCACGGAAGCAGGTTAGTTTTCGAGTGCACACTGAGTTGGTCTATCTTCACTTGGCAGTATACACTGCTCGTAAGGTTGATCAAAACCCAGATTCTGCTTTGTCCTTCTTTTGGCTCGTCAAACAGGCCCAGTCCCTTAGTTTCCGTTGATTTTTCCTCTACTTGGATCTAAATTATAAGTGATTCGCGAAGTACGCTTTTTGCTCATTAATACGGTTTTAACAAGAGAAGCAACCGATAATAGGGTGGCTGGTGAATCCCACGCCCATACACATAGTACGCAATGCTCTAGCAAATCTTTTCTTTTTTTGTGGAGATTTCGCCCTGTAAGTGAAGCCAGTCTATGCTGAAAAGCCGAGAAGCACTGCACAGCTGTTTTATCCTTATTGAGGATCATCATCAGTGCGTATCTCACGAAACTCCGGAGAGTTTCGAACCCGCGACCTCCTGGCTAGTCGTTTGAACACTTAACCGTTCGGCCACGAGTGGCTGATCAGCATAGATTGCAGGATTGGTAAAACTGTCCTAAATTTCGTGAGTGATGTGAAGCTGATAAGTGGCTTTCCCGCCAAGAGAGACTCAGTCGTCTTACAGAACCTTTTGTACACAAAATCCAGGCCAGAAAATAAGGATAAAAATACTGGTGGAGCAACGCCCAGTTCCTAAAACCTCCACATGTACTTCATGGGCTTGTTACAGGCTACTCTGAACGTTAGCTTCAAGCCCAACGCCAAGAAACTTAGATTGAACAGAACCGTTCTCATCGTATCAACATGTTCATGCAGTAACGAAGGTACATGTCTGGACATGCGCTTCGGTATCTTCGTTGTCCAACCATTGTAGGCGTCTTCACGGAAGCAGGTTAGTTTTCGAGTGCACACTGAGTTGGTCTATCTTCACTTGGCAGTATACACTGCTCGTAAGGTTGATCAAAACCCAGATTCTGCTTTGTCCTTCTTTTGGCTCGTCAAACAGGCCCAGTCCCTTAGTTTCCGTTGATTTTTCCTCTACTTGGATCTAAATTATAAGTGATTCGCGAAGTACGCTTTTTGCTCATTAATACGGTTTTAACAAGAGAAGCAACCGATAATAGGGTGGCTGGTGAATCCCACGCCCATACACATAGTACGCAATGCTCTAGCAAAACTTTTCTTTTTTTGTGGAGATTTCGCCCTGTAAGTGAAGCCAGTCTATGCTGAAAAGCCGAGAAGCACTGCACAGCTGTTTTATCCTTATTGAGGATCATCATCAGTGCGTATCTCACGAAACTCCGGAGAGTTTCGAACCCGCGACCTCCTGGCTAGTCGTTTGAACACTTAACCAAGTGGCTGATCAGCATAGATTGGCCTCACTTACAGGACGAAACCTCCACAAAAATCCCAAATATCATCGCACTACCAACAAAACTTTTCTGTAGTTCCCAAGCCAATACATCATTTATCATGTTGCCCTTGAAAGAAAGGAATGAGTAACTAGTATCGAATTTTGACTATACTGTGGATCCCGCGCGCAAATAGATTATCTTCCGATATGCCTCATTTCGAGGGTGGTATTTTAATCTCCCGACGCTCTTGTCATTTACGGCGCAAGCAAAGCATTGTGTAATCCACTATTTCACTCTCCGAAAAACACGTTGTCTCCATATTTTTCTCGAAATCACTCTTGCTTGTGAGATTTTGTAAGGCCGTCGAACAACGGGATCTTCGGTAGACAAGCGCATTTCTCAACTGGATGCTCATGCTGCTTGTAACTGATCTGTTAGTACTAGCATCAAATTCAACGTGTCTAGTTACTAATTACATTCCACATGCCATCACGGAGCTTATGACTACTCCCTTTAAAATCATTTTAGCCGTTTTTCAAGAGCGACACCTTGGCGAGCCAAAACCGTCCAGTTCAGTGCTCAAAGGTTTCTCGCACGGGGAACTGTCCTTCAGGAATTTTCAGTTGAGTGTTAATACGTTGAACAAGACGATTTTCGTCAGCATCTGACCGGTTACCTTCACATTACAGATTATCGTGCCTTTCAATTTTGGCACAGTGACCAAAAAGCACCCAATTCACCCGAGAGACTAGACAGGTATGCAGCAATGAAAGTTGAGCTTACACCGACTACAAATTTTCGCTGCAACTTTCAATGAAAATCGCGGACTCGTATTCATATCCTGAATAGATACGATCACCTCTGCCCTGCAGTAACATTTATGAGGGGAGTCACCGCTTGAGGTCAGACTGTCAATTCATTGAATAAGACTGCCAAGAGAACTTCTCTCAGTGGAAAAGTTGACCCTGTAATGTCCTTTCTCCTGTTATTGTTTTGCCTACCCCACTCACCGGTTTTAGAAAAATAAGGATGTCTGTTCTAAGCATCTAAATGAGGCACCGACGAAATCAGCAGTCCAGTGCTGTTTTTTTACATTCCTTTCATCCGATAGCATGAAAACGTGAAAACGTTCACATGCATACTTTAGTATCCACTTGTAACCATCACTGAAATACCATTCCAACAACTGAAATACCATATGCACCAATTTATCACTAGCTAAGAAGCCGCTTGACAGCCAACTGACAGTGCTGGATTTATGCACCAATTTATCAGCTCCCGCCTGCAATGCGCAGCTACCTCCCCCCTCCCAAAACCATCGGTGAACGAAACTGCGTTAGCTAAAACCACTGTACGACGAGTACGCAGTTATTACAGCTGGCTATGATGATGATGGTGATGACGTGAAACAAGGATCAGTCGTTGTCGCTTCTTTTCTACGCATGTAAACAAGAATGCCGGGATAGCTCTGAAACATTTGTATCGGCGAGTTTACCTGAGTACTTTGATTCAGGGACATAATGACCAAGTACTTACAACCATGAACTAACTTGCTGAAGCGACAGTTTACCAAATAGAAATGGGAATATTCACGCAAAGTCTCCGTTCCATTTCGGAGTATACAAAGAGCTGTATACTCATTTCACACCTGTATAGATTACAGTGTAAAAGGAATTTATTAGAAAGTTCCGATAAGTGAGACATGAATCAGGAGTGAGTAGTTCAACACAAAGTTAATCACGTGAGAAGCAAACAAGGGACCAGAGCACCTTGGTTCCATTTCCTTTATGAATCACCCATGCTTATAACAAGTGGTTGCAAATGGATACAAAAGAGCGAACTTGCACAGTTTATGCCTTCTGCTTTCGTTTCATGGATCTGGGGTGTTCCGCAAATAAAGAAACGGAGGTGCCCAACGCACGTGCCTTGCAATCAGTTTGTCAAAAATTAGCTGCAATCGAGCCACAATGCGTCCCATTCGACGTTTGTTATCTCGCCCCCTTTGGATAACAATGTGATTTTCCTCAAAGCCATGAAGCATTTTCAAGTCGGAAACATACTTTTTCAACACTTGATAGTGAACATATTCTTGCTGTGCATAGATAAACCATTTATTGGCGATAATTGTCAAATTGAAGGCGTATTCGATTGGTGATACTGCTTCAATGAATGGGTCAGTACAACTTGACGGGGACATATAAAGGCTTTCTTCTTTATCTATAGCCTGATTTTGCAGCTCTGCCGAGAGAAAACAAGTCTCCTCTTCATATTCTAGCATTGAATTACTAACAACAATGCCTGGAAAGTGTTCTTGAAAGATACTATCCAATGTGCTGGGACGGGCTTGAGGATCTACAGGAAGGCCAAGTGAGTCTCTAAGTTGATGTTGATGCAGTAGTTTATCATATTCAGGTGGACGACGACAAGCATGCAGTACGAACCGATTACATCGATCCGGTGAGCGTCTGAATAACGTTCTGTTGTAAAAGTTTTTGTAATCGAATGTGTTTGATACCATCAGCCGGACACTGTTTCCCATTATCCAGGAAGTTTGTGGCAGGAGGAAAATATCAAACAGACGGAACACCTCGTTCTGTTCACTACAGTCGGGCTCAAATGAATTGATTTGTTGAGGCCTGCAGGGCTCAGGTTTTTTGAAGCAACTGTCGTGAATATTCATTGCAGCGTACGTGAACAGTATCTGCCTAAATCGCTCAGGCTTTGGTAGGCTATTTGGGGCCCATGCCAAAATGGCGTAGTAGCCTCTGGGCAAGCTCTGGTTTTGCTCCACGTAGAAGCCATTTTCAGCAAGTGTTTTAACTGAGGGAATTACTGTTTCACAAGCCTTGTTAAAACCGGCCACGCTGATTTTCAAGGAGGAACAAATTTGTCGTCCACGTATACAACAACCTTTGTCAGGTAAAGAGTATGACCCACAACAGAAATACATAAAGATCACGAAAGTTGAAAATGACCACATTTTGCTGAGGTAAAGGGAAACGTGTGAAATATGTCATATCCAGCTCAAAATTTAGTTTCCATGCTCTGAGAAAAAACGATACTGTGCACTGAGACGACCAGCATGTGGCCTTTTTAGTTTCACCCATTGGCCTTGCATAATTCGAACTTATTGATTGACTTTTTTGCCGCTTTCGGTCTGGCAGTCAGCCTGGGCGCTTATTTTGTGACTAACACATGTCAGTTATAGCCCGAAGTTCTGTATTGTGCACAGATATAGGTTAATTGGTCTGATTAGTTAATTAACAGACTGATCCGAAATTCAGTGAGACGAAAACAACAGCCACTATAATTTTTTTTAAAATCATTCCCCTGTGCTTTACTGCACAATAGGCTTGTCAAGAGCACCACGTGCGGCAGCGGAATGTGTTTAACTTTTGAGCTGTCATAGTGAAATGGCATTCTTTTCATCATGGTATTGTGAATTCTAGTTATCAGAAAACTATGTTTACAATTATCTATCTATCTATCTATCTATCTATCAGTATATTTATCTATATATCCGGCCATTTATCTATGTACATATCTGTCTGTCTATCAATCAAAATATGTATCTATCTATCTACCTAAGTATCTATGAAAACTTTCTATCCATCTTTCTATCTATCTATCTATGTATCTATCTATCTATCTATCTATCTACCTATCTATCTATCTATCTATCTATCTATCTATCTATCTGTTTATCTATCTATCTATCTATCTATCTATGCACTTGTTTCGACCCATCGCTGCTCACGGAGCAGTGTTTTGGGTTTTCAATAGACTTCACAGAGACCGATCCCAAATCTGTCATGTTCAGGACTGATGAGTGCTTTTTAGCTGGTACGATAACTGTGCCTTATTTTGACTTATTGGACACCTGTGTGTGCTGAGGCTATGAACAATGAAACACTTAAGCCAGCCTTTTTCGCTTTTTTCGTGTCAGTACGGTTATATTCGCGGCAAATTTTCCCTGGACAATGTCGGGGAAATATCCCCGGCTGCCTTTGATTTTGAATGACCTAATCTGGGTTGAATATCACAGATTTTCAGGGATCTATGAAGGAGTGGACAAAGTAGTAGACAAACAACCAATTGCACTTGATCTTGATTAACTGAATGTTTTGGTAAGGTGTACGTAATTTGTTTTGAAGAAAAATTGCTATGAACAGACAAAAAAAGATGTCTCCCCACCGACGTAATACACTACTCATGAGGGTGCTGAAACTCGTTCGACAAACCACGACCGATTTTGCCCTTCTTGGGGCTCATCAGGTAGGCGCTGTTCTACTTGAACCCGAATTGCAAACAGATTTGGTTTTGCGGGAGACTCACCTCGAACCCAGCTAAATCTCTTGTTTATGACGTTTTCAAGCAACGGAGTTTGCTGCACCAGATAAGGTATTATCTCATGAGTAGAGTATTACGTCTATACATGTATTGCGATATCTCGAATATTGCACCAACTGAAATATAAGGCGGCCTGATTCAGCGCACTCAATTGCTTGAAAACATAATAAACAAGGGTTTCAGTTGGTTTCAAGTGAGTCCCCGCAAGTGAGTGTATTTCGCTTGCGTCTTCCCATCCTTTCTCGATCTGGCTGGCGAACTAACCGTAGCGCTAATAACGTAATTTGTCCGGCGGATGAATTTCTTTGTATCACGCCGCCACTTGCAATACAGCGGGGAACGGGAAAATCACCTTTTGCTGATAGTGTGAGAAGATCCTGAAATTTCGGTTGAGAGTTTATCCTACAAATAGGGTCAAGTAATGCCAAAATCCGAGAAGCCATTTCACTCTTGTTTGGAAATCATGGAAGTACTCCAGTCAGTCATACTTATAAAAATACAAGGCCACTCATATTTGAGCGACGGAATTCACACCACGTGATTACATGTTGACTGGTTCCTTGAGTGATATATGATGCTCACTATAGTTGATTTCAAAAAATGATGAAACGGATATAATTCTCGGCTTTTAGGCATAAGTTTTCGCCGAAATATTAACCCATCATGTTTTACGACAGAATTCCGATCATCGTCATGTTTGGTGCATCCAAGAACAAACAGCAGATAATTTACGATTTGAGTTCAGGTAGAAAATGTAATTAACAGAAATTTATGGACGTCTATCTGATGAGGTGAGGAAGAGCAAAACTGTTAAATAGCCCTCAGCAACCTTGTGGGTAGGTACCTTCAAAAAAATACATTCACTGTTGTCACAACAACGCCTTCAGATACTCTATTTTCTCGATTACACATTAACCAAGTGCACATATTATGCCAAGGTTTCAATCCCATAAGCTGGTAATTTCTAGATTTAGAATGGGTCCATCCGGCTTCATGTCCTCAGTCTGCCACGCAGTCCCGCTTCGTTACTAGTGTAGACACAAACTAACCACCCGTAGGTCTCCGTCTTTAGAGTTCTTCATTTCTTCTGATGAATTGCAGCTATTTTTATGTGGTGCCTAGCTCCACATTTTGTCCGCGAGTGATTTTATATTCGCTCTTTCCAGAGCACTACAGACCTGAATATGTGAGTACTTTCCGGTTGTTTGATTTCATTACTTGCCATTCAGAGTGAGGGTGGATTCCAGTTGAAAAAGTTAATTTGGTTTTTTAACATGGCTGCTGTCCCTTGTCTCGAGGACTAATTGCTTTATCATATCCCAGAAACTCCAGTAAACATGTTTTTGAAAGCTAGGAGAACAGCTTGTAGTTTGGCCTTTGCTCGCAAAGTACAGATTCGAGCAGAATTCAGGGAGGACAAATTGAACGTCGGGTTTAGTCCCTGAACTCACGTGCACCAATATGCAGGCGTTGTATTCGGGTTCACTTGGAGACCGATCATGGAAGCATAACCGGTCTGAGGTAAATCGGACTAGTCGGAAGCAGGATCGCTGTTGATCCATCCTAACAAACTTTCGTCAAAGTGTGACACCGCATCAGCAGATTGACAAACTGAATAAACAAGACAGAGTTAATAAATGAGAAGAATCCGTTACCTAACGACGATAACCATTTAGGCGTGTTTTTATGTCTCGCATGGCCCCGTATTCAGTTTCTCTTGTTCAACTAAAGGGTTTGTTTTGGTCTTGTGAGGATTTAAACAGTAGACTTGCGAGAAGAGCTTGGGCCCTTTTACGGCTTTGTATTACTAAACCGAGGAAATGAGAAAGCCAACACAAAAAACGCCTTTGCATTCCAAAGATGATTATGCAAGCAGAAACGCAAATTTAAGTGATACAATGGTTTTACAGCTAAGTAGAAGGAACGGCTATTAGCGATTGGATTGAAGATGCTTTGGTCGTTAACCCAGCATGAAAATTCTTTCATCGGAAATTTTGACCATATTCTCACTCGTCACTCCCACGTTCCAACAGTTTTGCATTCAGGTGAACAACGCTTTTATTCTGATGACCTGATGATGATTCAAAGGTCACCTGGCACAAACCTCAGGCAGATATCAGAGGCAAACTTGTGATCTCTGATCATACCAACTAGTACCCTATTTGTGGGTCGATACAACCTATCCTAAATGCTCTTATTTGGCCTAATGCTATGTGTGTCACTTGATTAGACGGACTGATTTGTTAGTCACTTGACAAGACTGACAAGCGCTTAAAACCAGTTATACTGGCCAGGCATCTATCCCAGCTGGCCGTCAATTCCATTTTTAGTTAGCTATTAGGTCAACCTAAAATGAAGCACTGCTCTCGGTTGGCATTTGCTCAGTTACAATGAGAAAACATCTGTCATCGGGCAACAGCATGTCTTTGGAAGCTTTTGCGCTGAAGGACTCGACTTTCGTGAGTCACCTTTGCATATTGTGCTGACCATACTCAGTCACATTGAACTAGATCTTCCTTACAAGACAAAGAACATGTTGGACACCACAGATTTATTCTTTGTAGCAAGGTTTATTCTGTTCCGGATGTGGGTTTTTGGCGTTCACACTTAAACTTCCAGCTGATCATACTGAACGAAGCAGTAGTTTTTGCTCCAACTTCAACAGAAGGTTCAACATGACCTGAGCAATTTAATCAAAATAATGCTGGTTGTATTTGTACACAGAAAATCTTTTTCAAAAAAGCGAGTAAGAGTCAAATTATATATTCAAACCGCATGAAATTCGCTCACTAACGTAGTATGTCCAATGCCCCAACAGACCGCACCAAGCCTTATCGAAAATTGTTAGTAGTATGGGTAGATTTTGAAATTTCCCGATGAAGATTTCATCCTGCAAATGAAGCCAATCAATGCTGAAAAGTCCAGAAGCACATGTCAGCTCTTTTGTCCATGTTGAGAATCGTCAGCAGTTCACCTCTCAAGAATCTTTTAAAAGATTAGAACTCGCACTCTTCGGGCTAGTAATTAAAACCTGACACATTTGGTCACCAGCGTTCAAGTACCAATGTGATAAACTCGTATCCAGATATAAGACAGTGTGGTGACTTTGGAAATAACCCTTGAAAGATCCAAAAGCGAGTTATCAAGCAGCCACTACCTGATTAGCAGCCAAACCAAGGAAGCTCATCCTTCGAAAGATGCTTTTAAACTTGCTTTCCGTGGTGATCTGTTTTAAGTAATACTGTGGTGAATAAGTCAAATTTACCATGGCCCATTTGTGGCAGTTGATACTTATCAAGCCACCGATTCACCGTAGCCACTATTTTCAAAAGCAGTTCACTGGTGCAACGGGCCAAACTTGATTGTAACGTCCCTACATCAACATCAGGTTATGACTGCAGTTTTCTGAATCGACGAAACTCATCAGCCTTATTTAACCAGGTCGAGCATCCCCTATACCTACACTTACTTGGATCAGACAAGTCATAGCCGGCCATATCGTTGACCGAATTTTGTGAACTTAAAAGTTTTTGTTCCAAAAGATGGTAGTTCAGTACTTGCATGATTCCCGTGGGTTTTATGACGACCGATGCTCTTCACAATTCCTGTGACTTCACAGAATCATAGAGC